CGAACATGAGCTGCTTAACGAGCCGAACACGAGCCATTCACGAACAACGAGCCAAATTGACAGCCCTAATCTCAAGCTCGGGTATGACAGATGCTCAAGGGGAGACTCACATGTCTTGCAACTGTGGAAAATCGGGACATCTGAGCAAGGCTTATCCAAAACCACCCAAGGAGAGAGAGACAGTGAACGTGAATCTTCTAGAGGAGGCTACCGGGAAAATCTGATGATAACAAAGAACGAGAGAAATACAAGGGTGGTCTTTACCGATGAGGATCGTAAGTTTCTGGATATGTTGAAGATGAAGCAGAGAGAGGTAAGTGTCATCACTAAGAATGCGTCCACCTTATCGTCATCCAAAGAAAACACTGTTAGTTATCCTAACTCAATCAAAGATGCTCGTGATACACATGCCCTTACCTCTATATCCACCACAAGTTCACCAAAATGAATAGTAGATTCTGGTGCATCTCGACGTGTGACAGGAGCCGCTAGTGAGTTTTTTTTCTATACCCACCTCGCAGTTCCAAAGAGCATTCAGACCGCTGATGAGACAATACAACTTGTGATTGGTAAAAGTACAGTGAGGTGTACCAATTCTATAACTTTGTCCAATGTTTTGAATGCTCCTTTCTTTCTAATAAATATTTTATTTATTAGTATCATTATACTTCAACTAAAATGTGTTGTTTCATTTGATATTCCAAAAGTGACCAATCATCAGAAGAGGACTGGTCGGAAACTTGGGACTAGTACGTGGCATAGTGCACTCTGGTACTTTGATAGAGAAGGGAAGGACTTAGCCTTCACATCCATGGTTGAGAATGTTGGAGCAGGAGGGTATTGGATGAGTGCGAAGGATGTATTGCTGGTACATTAAATGCGCATGAGACACTCTTTGTTTCATCAATTGAGTTGTTTGTGCCCATCATTATATGAAAAGACAAATAAACAAAAACTTGTGTGTGATGCTTGTGAGTTTGGCAAGCATACCAGAAGTTCTTATGTTAGTTATGGTAAAAGGAGTTCTTATATTTTTGATTTGGTACATTCAGATATATATGATCTTGTTCTACAACTTCAATGGATAATTACATGTATTTTGATTTCATTGATCGTTTTTATTGTGTTATTTGGTTATATCTGATGAGAAATAAAAGTAATGTGTTTGCCTGCTTTAAAGACTTTCATAGGGCGATTCAGATTCAATATGACGTTGTAGTGAAGGTATTGAGATCTGATAATGAGACAGTATAACAACAAGGTGTTTGGAGAATACTTGTTCGCCCAAGGGATACTTCATTAAACCACATGTTCATACATACCGACACAAAATATAGTGGCAGAAAGGAAAAACATCTTCTACAGATAGCTCGAAGCATGATAATCACAATGAATATCTCAAAGCACTTGTGGGGCAAATAGTTTTGACGATGACTCAATTGATCAACAAAAAACTCTCGAGAGTGTTGAATTGGAATTCTCCTTGTTAGATATTGAAATAAGATAATAATGAGATTCTTTTTTTAAATGTATTTGGATGTGTATCTTTGTGAAAGATAACATACCATCTATAAGGAAGTTGGATCCCAGAGCTGTGAAATGTGTGTTAGTCGGGTATTCTGCTACTCAGAAGGATTATGTATGTTGATGCCTAATCGAGAAGAAACTTTTTGTGAGTATGGATGTGTCAGTCAGAGAGTTTGAACCATACTACACTTTAGAGGTAAATTCACACTTCGGTAACTAAGCCCATTGGAGATATGAGGCAAGAGAGAGTGCGCAGTAGTAATAGTAATGGCGGAGTGGTGCAAGTAGAAGAAATGTCATGTCCTATGATGTTGGATGAATCAACTGAGGAGACAGTAATAGAGGAGATTGAACCTAGTGATGTTGGGATTCAGACTGAAGGTGCTAAGGGTGTATATGCAGAGGAAGAAATAAACTGAGGGAACAAATCCTGCAGTGCCAACAAATCTCTTGTCCCGATCTTTCCCAATTCGAGACACCTACACCATTAATCTTTAATTCAAAACTCTAAGGTGATATTATTCCTCCTTCATCTACTCCTATCTACCCCTGACCCCCACCCACCAAATGTTAAGAAGAACCACCCGCAGCAATGCGGGACATCCTCCTGATCGTTTTGGGTGTGAACTTGACATTGCAAACTTTGTTTCTTATTCTAACATCTCAGCTATGCATGGAGCATTCATTACATCATTGGACTCTGTCTCTATACTTAAGTGTTGGCAGATTGCTAAACAGGATTCCAAGTGAAAAATGACGATGCATGAAGAGCTTAGAGCTCTTGATAACAATCGAATATGGGAGATCACACCACTACCAGCGGGGAGAAAGCAATTTGGATGCAAGTGGATCTTCACGGTAAAACAAATTCCATAAGGGAAGGTAGAGAGACACAAAACACGACTAGTGGCAAAAGAGTACAGTCAAACAGAAGGCATTAACTACTATGAAATATTTGCACCAGTAGCAACGATGAGGACAACTCTGACAGTGAATGGTGGATGGAGGTTACACCAACTTGATATGAAGAATGTTTTTTCTTCAAGGGAAGCTACTGGATGAGGTATATATGGAGACTCCACCAGGATGTAACACATCCCAAACAGTGGGCAAGGTGTGTAGGCTCAGGAAGTCACTGTATGGCTTAAAATAGTCTCCTCGAGCCTAGTTTGACAAGTTTTGAATGACGAAGGTTGGCATGAGATATCAACAGATTAATGCAGACCACACACTGTTCTTTCGGTAATATTAAATTCACACTACCATACTTGTTGTGTAAGTGGATCACATAATTATCGTCGGTGATGTTGTGACAAAGATTGTTCAACTGAAGTGAAGATTGGGGAAACAATTTGAGGTAAATGATCTCGGACAACTTATATAATTTCTTGGATTGAAATGACTCATTGAACTGAGGGGATGATCATATTCCAAAAAAACATGTACTAGATCTTCTCAGCAGATATGTATGCGGGGGTACAAACTTGCGTTCTCTTCAATTAATTAGAAGATCAAGCTCACTATAGAGGCAGATGAATCAATTGATCATGAGAGGTACCAGAGGTTAGTGAACCACCTAATCTATATATGCCACACTCGACCTGCTATTTTTTTTTTTTTGCAATAAGTGTGGTGAGCCGCTACATGCATGATCCAAGGAAGATTTTGAGGTATTTGAAGAGTGCACCAAAAAAAAGGGTTGATATTCAAGAAGAATGGACATGTAGATATTGAGGGCTATTGTGATTTTGACAAGGCAAGTTGTGTTGATGACAAACGATCCATATCAGGATGCCACATCTTTGTATGTAGCATCTTGATCTCGTGGAAGAGTGAGAAACAGTCAATTGTAGCAAGATCAACAACAGAGGCAAAATATAGGGTCATGGCATTAGAAGTTGCTGAGATCATGTGGCTGAAGGTCTTGATGGTTAAACTCAAAGTGGATTAGGGAACTCAAATGAAGTTGTGGTGTGACAACAAGTCGGCAATCAACATCGCTAACATGGTGCAACACAATAGAACTAAACATGTGGAGATTGATAGATTTTTTATCAACGAGAAGCTGAATAACGGATTGTTGGAACTAAGTCATTTACTTACTGGAGAGCAAATGGCTGACTGCCTCGCTAAAGGACTTAGCTCAATGGGGTTAACTAGATTATGTGATAAAATGGACTTAGTGAATATCTTTTGCCCACCTTTAGGGGAGATGTTGAGATTTGTATATAATGTTAGGTTTTATTTGTAAATAGAAGATGTCTAGGGATTTATTTATAAATATTGTATGGCTCTATATAAGTCAAACTGTTAATCAAATGAATAAGTTTAATTGCAAAAATATTCCAATAAACACTAATGGATAAAACATGTGAATATTCATTATCATTTTATACATGAAGTTCAAAAAGATGTCATTCGTATGGCCCATATAAAGTTTAAGAATAAACCAGGGGCGCTTTCACGGAAGACAAGCTCACTTTTCTATAATGAGTATCAAGCTTGGATTCTCAGACAGGATCTCCATCTTGAGGGGACATGCTAAGGAATAATGCATTCGCTGTAATTATTTAGTTTCCTTTGTTGTATATATTTTCTTTTATGATTTAATATGCATTTAGTTAGACCTAACATGAATAGTGGGAGGATTATCTATAAATTACCGAATTCAAATATCGTATCTTGTCAGATATTCATCTGAATCAATAGCCAACATGAGACCATTACTCTAAATTTCTAGAAAGTACAGCTTAAAAAAAAGTATTATATTATTCTAAAAATGTTGACTCTGTATATAAAAGGAATAAAAAATATTAAACCAAAAAATACACATTGAAAAGTGAGTTAAAATCATTAGATGGTGCTATCAAAATTGAGCAAAAGAAGTTAACGAAAATAAATCCCATTGCTAAAATTAGAAATGTTACCCAGAGAAGTGCCAACTAAGATAGCTGTGGGAGTAGCAAGACCCAGTGCGCATGGGCAGGAGACTACCTGAATAATTGGACAGCAGAAGAAAAGACTGAGTTTAGATTTCTGGACAAAGATATACAATCACACTATGTTTATAAATATAGAAGAATTTCAATGAAGAAATATGACTCCATGATGTAACATAAAGCCTGTGATAACATGCGTTGCAATCAATAAAATCATCGTGCCATCTCTGAATGAAAGAATTTTATATTTACATAAGAGTGCTGCATCAAATACATTACTCCATTACCACAAATAATACTTATAAAACGAAGAAAGAAATATTTTACAATATAAAGTTCAAAAAAAAAAAAATTGGCCAATACTTACTAACACATCAACAGCTAGTTTCAAGCTTAATAACAATGAATGTCCTTCAGGACCAGCAATATCATTCAGCAGCACATCTGGGAAGATGTTTGTTCCAATGTAATACCTACCATGTATAGAAGAGAAGATACAGCTAATGCTCAGTGTGATTAACTAAAAATTAAACTGTAATGAAAATGAAATTACATTTTATCAAACAAACTTCCATGCAATGAGGAAAAGAAATTTGCACTAGCAAAAAATGAAAAAGGACAATTATGTATGTATTGTGGTGGTTTCACTCATGTATTATAAAATAAATAAATAAATAAAATACAGTCTTGCCAATTTGAGTCCCAAACGCATTCATTCTCTCGTAACAAGTGAAATTGTAACAAATTTTTTCCAAATAATCCTATCAAGCAGGAATAAATGAAATTAGCCAGAATAAAGAGTTTTCTTCTTCTCAATGCGGGAAAGAAGAAAATATTATATTTGCACGGATTCTTTCCAGTTGAATATTAAGATTAGGAATATGTATTCATTAAGTTACTTAAATAGATTATATAGAATATTATGTACCTAAAATAGATTATGCAGGTTATTATTTATTGGAATGAAAGCAAAGGAAAAGGCATTCAGCCTATTTGCTCGAAATATTAACATGGTATCAAAGCTTTCATCGGTCTAAATCTTTGGAATTCCAGTTTTTGCTATCGTTCGACTGCTTCCTCGCTGGAGCGCTCGTTCTTGTCTTTGAGTTTTGCGACATCTTCGTACGCTTTTCTTGAATTTTGTCGCGAGCCGATCTTCGAATTTGATCGGTCTCTTTGTTATCTTCATCGGTATCTTCGACCGCTTCCTCGTCGGGAGCACTCGTTCTTGTCCTTGCTTGAGTTCTGCGGCATCGTCGTCTACCTTCGTCGGAATCCCAAGAAAATCGTTGCTCCTCTGCCAAGCAGGATCTTCTCTGTTGCGATCCACGTATGTTCTCTGTCGCGATCCGCTTTATCGAGATCTGTCTATTAGTGCTACGTTTCATCTGCTCGTCCCACTTTGCCACGATCCTTCTGTTTGTCCTGCGAGTCCTTTTCCCTTTTCCGCGTCTGCTCATCCGCGATTCCTGTTCGTCTGCTCATCCGTAGGGCTGTCAAAACGGCTCGTTGTTTGCGAACAGCTCGTGTTCGGCTCGTTAAGAAGCTCGTGTTTGGGTCGTTGTTGACCTCATTTTTGTGAGGTCTTTTCCTCTCCTCCTTAGAGCCTAGATTCTAGCTCTAGAAATCCCTATGGACCATCTTAGAAAACTAGAGTTGAGACTCCCCCTTCTAGAAGCTCCAGCCGATTCCTATTTTCCTTTGATGTCTAGCATCTTTGGCACAAGACCATCGTTTTATGAACGAGCGGTTATGGGCTATTTTGCAAAGATTCAAGGAAGATGTTCCAAATAGGACTTCAAGCCTTAGGAAAACATCGTCACGATCTTTTTCGTCACGTGCACAC